TTATTATTCTCCTCATCTTCTTTTTTCTCCTCCTCCTCCTCCTTTTCATTCTTCTTTCTTCCTTCTTTTCTTTCATTATTTTCCCTTTCATCTTCCATTCTTCTTCTTCTATCTTTCTTCTCCCTTAATTTTCTTCGTCCTTTAAAAAACTTCATCCTTATTCTTCTTCTTTCTCCTTAGGACTCCAGGATTTTACTACTTCTTTGCTATTCCTTCCTTCTTTCTTCCTCTTCCGTATTCTTCTTTGTGGTATGTCCTTTCAGGATGTGCAATCCATTTACATATGCGCCTTAGGTAGATTATTCGATGATTCTTTCTTCTCATTCTTGCTTTCAGTATATCCTGCGAGTGTTTAATTTACCAAGTTTTCTTGTCTCATAATGTGTTCCAGAAATTTCAATTGTCTCTTTCTCTTTCTATTACAACTGTTCTTTTTGTTTTCATTTGCTGTAAAATGTGCTGTGTTTTTCACATTCTAACGACCTTTTCTTGTTTCGTAGTACTTAATTTAGATTTTACAAAATGCATCTCATAGACGAGCCTATCGACTCCTCGTAACCTGATCACAGCACAGGAGGCTCGGCGATTTTTTATCGAGATTTTAACTCCAGAAAGGTTGCCGAATAAAGCTGTAGACCCTATCCAGGCCAAAGCGGAATTACTGAATTATAAATATCATTCTGGAGGAATTTAGAATAATGATCGGAACAATGGTGGTGAGATAAAGTGTGAGATTAACTTTGAATTTACACGTGTTAGGGTTTATTTTATTGGTGTACGGAAAATGATCTTATTTATTAAGCGATTTAATGAGTCTGAAATATGCCCTATCGCTCGGAAGTGTTACTCGGAGGACCAAGTTAAATTCCAGACGGATTCTTTATATTCACTTACGCGCAAATACTCTTGAGAAAAGTATGAATCCATCTCTTCTCAGATTTTTAGCAAAAAAAGTGGAATTAATTTTTTACTGAAAAAAAAAATGCTTTTTCCCCAGAAGGATGGGATCAAAAAATGCTAGAAGGCTCAGCCACGATCTGAGTTAGCTCAGATTTTTTATTTATATTACTTTATTTATTTATGTTGAAACTTGACTAATGCATGGAATAATAATGCAACACAAAATGTACTTAGAACAAAATGTATTGAAACAAGAAAGTGTCCTGGTAAGACCGTTCCTGGAGAATGTGTTGACTGAGTCGCAGTCGGGCAGAGTCTCTGGTTGAATCTCTTGATTCCTCCCTCTCATCCCGGTACCAACCATATTTATATGGTCGGTGTTCCCACTATGCAAATTAGGTGGATCCTACCACAACAATTTACGATGTTCAATCAAAATTAGCGGGTGTGTTGCGATGGTAACGATGTTAAAGAAGGCAGGAGAAGCCACTTGGCACATATTGAGGTTGGACTCTTCGCACTTATAAGTTGTAACGTTCTCGTTCACTTCCGTTGTTTAAAGCAGCCCTCGTAATAAAGTATGTAGTGTGGTCGTCTCAAAATACTACAGAGGTTACACGAATGACCATAGCTTAAGCAGCAGTTTGGGCCAAGCACAGGTCAACAACCGCCATATTTCTCCAGATATTGTCCCTTGCGACATTTCGTCTTTCCAAAATAAAATCCCACTTGAATGGAACAATATTTGACGAAAAGGCAATACAAATGTATGCGATGAGACAGCTACTCGCTATACCGAAAATTCCCATCAATTAAAACGATGCTTGATAAAGTGTGTTTCATCAGAAGGATGTTACTTCGAAGGAGATTAAATCCGAATTGATATGTGTTGTAGTTTAAAAGCAGCAGTCTCTACTTTTTTTTATCAAAACTTAACTTTTTTTTACTGCCCAACGTAAAAAATTGAATAACAATCTTATTTGCAAATTTTGTACAATATACAATACATACACACATGTAAATCCAAACGAACAACAAAAATATAAATTCGTAGTTGTTCATTTCAAATGAAAAGTAAGTAACGTTTAAAATTATTCGGACTATTGTTCAAGGGTTCTTCCTAGGAACTGATCTTTGGATAGTATCCATACATACACACACACATGTAAATACACACACACATACACACAGATATATACATACGAACACACGGACATTATCAAATGAAAAAAGTCATAACGTTTAAAAATACGTTGAACCTTGTTCATTTTGAATAGGACAAAAGGATAAGCTGATAGTATCCCAAAAGCATTTCTTCATGTATATCCTTTTGTAGCTATTACTTCTTCTAGAACTGATAGAACTAAAATGTCTTCCTTAGAGTAATACGTCCTGGGTATAACGATAAACTACAGCCGGCAGCAAGGCCTCTGATCGTAAGGTTTTGAGGAGAGTTAAACCACCTCTTAATTTCTGTGTTTCCCCAGTTAACCCTGACCAGGGGTGGTAGATGTGTTAGTATCCCTGCTATGGACAAATAGTGAATCTTTCAAACTGGGGCCAAAACATTATGAAAGTATAAAAATTATTTTTTATACTAAAATCACCAACAATAGATTTTAATTGTAAAAACAATTACCTAAACTCCCAAATAAATTAAATTTCGACATTAAATGACCCACAAGGTGTATATACGCCATTAAACAAAGCCAACCTGAGGGTAACCGTTTAATCAAGTGGTATTGCGTACTGTCTTTCATTATGTTTACTGTTCAGCTGTGTTAACGAGAATTAAAATGTCCTCCGTTTGGGGCCGATTATTTTATTTATATACCATATTACTAGTTTTTGGAGATGTTTTGTATTTTCCGGATCATGCAGCATATCTAATTTCAACACAAAACTTCTGCTGTGACAATTTAAAAATTAGCGATTAACATGAAAATAAAATTAAAAGCAATAGAGGGCGGAATAAAGACGTCAAAATTTAAATTTAATTGTTGACTATCTCTGCCAACGTTTATATTGGCGCAGAAATGGAATGACATCTAAGTTTGCTAACCGGTAAAACTGATAATTTCTTATTTCAAATTTTGTAAATAATGTCGAAAAAACAAAAAAACAAAATTTGAATCTGAAAAACAAAATGTAAAATATCTTGTATATTTCCAGATGAAGTATTATGTATTATTACATTATTCGACTATTCTCCTCATCTTTGTTGCCATATTTATCACAACATTTCGGCCCTTCAGTATCTGTCTATATTTCTGAGATGAGGTATTATGTACAATATTTACATTATTCAGACTATTGTCCTCATCTTTGTCGCCATATTTATTACAACGTTTCGGCCTTTCAGTATCTGTCTATATTTCTGAGATGAGGTATTATTTTTTTTTAAGCATTGTGCCCCAAGCAAGGCGTGAAGCCACTAGGATGCAGGTGGTTGCGGAAGATTTGGAGCGAGAGCAGATAAAAGTGATAGGAGAAAGGAAGAGGAGAAGGATAGTGGGTAGATCAAGGTAATTGGAGGTGTCGATTGACATTACATTTGAATAGTTGGAGATTATAGCTTTCAGGGAAACAGTAATTGGGGAGGGTGTTCCACTGGCGAGAGGTGCGAGGTATGAAGATATTGGAGTAGAAGAGACGGCTACATTTAACGGTTTCTACGGTGTAAGGGTGGGAGCGGGATGCCAGCCTCGTAGGGCGCTTGAATTCATGGAGTCTGGGAACCAGAGAGAGCAGCACATCAGAGCAGTTACCATGGAAGTATTTGTAGAAAAGAGACAGAGAGGCGACGGCGCGTCTGTGAGAGAGTGACTGCAAACAAGACGCTAGATCAGGGCCAATTAGATTACATATCCGTCTCTGGATCTTGTCAAGAACTCCGAGGTAAGCAGAAGGTGCTCCAGCCCATATATGGCAGCAATACTCCATGCAAGGGCGAATGGTTGTTTTGTATATTTGAAGTATCGATTCAGGGGAGAAAAATTTCCATGTACATTATTTACATTATTCAGACTATTGTCCTCATCTTTGTCGCAATATTTATTACAACGTTTCGGCTTTTCAGTATCTGTCTATATTTCTGAGATGAGGGATTATGTACATTATTTACATTATTCAGACTATTGTCCTCATCTTTGTCGTCATATTTATTACAACGTTTCGGCCTTTCAGTATCTGTCTATATTTCTGAGATGAGGGATTTTGTACAATATTTACATTATTCAGACTATTGTCCTCATCTTTGTCGTCATATTTATTACAACGTTTCGGCCTTTCAGTATCTGTCTATATTTATGTGATGAGGGATTATGTACAATATTTACATTATTCGAACTATTCTCTTCATCTTTGTCGCCATATTTATTACAACGTTACGGCCTTTCAGTATCTGTCTATATTTCTGAGATGAGGGATTTTGTACAATATTTACATTATTCAGACTATTGTCCTCATCTTTGTCGTCATATTTATTACAACGTTTCGGCCTTTCAGTATCTGTCTATATTTATGTGATGAGGGATTATGTACAATATTTACATTATTCGGACTATTCTCCTCATCTTTGTTGCCATATTTATCACAGCATTTCGGCCTTTCAGTATCTGTCTATATTTCTGAGATGAGGTATTATGTACACTATTTACATTATTCGGACAATTGTCCTCATCTTTGTCGCCATATTATCACAAGTTCAATACCCGTTTAATGCAGTGGAGAATTTGGAGAGGGGAATTAACAGGAGATAACTAATAACTGACATCCATTAAGACATGGCACGTGGAACTAGAACAGTCTACACCATTAGACAGAGAACGAAATAAAGGATTCAGTTCGACATTCCAACCACCCGAAGAAGTTTGGAGCGTACAACGGCCGAAAACGTTGTAATAAATATGGCGACAAAGATGAGGACAATAGTCCGAATAATGTAAAAAAAATTCGTTCGAAACAAAGAAAACAGTGGTGGATTACCGATGGGCTATTAATCCTCTTATACGGCATGAGTGCTGGAACAAATCCCCCACGGACGAAGAAAATTATCTGGAGGCAAGAGAAATGTAGTTCTGTAGACGGTTACTGAAAATTCTGTGGACTGAACGAGTAAGCAAGAAGGAAGTGTTAAAGAACATGGAATCAGAAGGATCAATTCTACTAAAGAATCAGGAAAAGACCATGGATACATAACTAGGAAGTGGGTGGTTGGGATTGGAAAACTTAACCCTCACGGGTCATATTATGGGCATAAGAGATAGGGGAAGGCAACGAGTCATTGACCCGATGGGCTTGTCTGACTCGATGGCGGAACGGGGAGCGGGACTGTTAGCAACGGGAAAAAAAAACTGGTAAGAGCCACACGATATAGAAAGTTGTGAAGAACCATGATTGCTAATGTCGTGAAGGACGCGGCTCAAGAAGAAGAAGAAGAAGAAATGGATGAACCTCCATTTGAATATAAAGATTTTACCATCGGAAAATTTAATGTTAGATGACATGCGAGAAAAGAAAAGCGGGAATTAACGGCTTAGACTCAATTCTGGAAGCTATTGAACATGTCTTGCGACAAAGTGTACTTATTCCTTCTCATAAAGCAAATTTGTGCTATTTCGAGAAGAGAAAATGAAGCACGATTTGACAGAAGAAGAAAAGAAAAGGAAGAAAAGAAAAAGAAGAAAAGTGTCTGAAGCCAAGATGCCATGTTATTGCTCCTGACCTGGCATCTCAGCTTTAGCCCCTTTCCAATCGCCGTAACGTCGCTTTCCTGTATCACACTTATTCTTACACTCAGGTTCACCTTGTACAATAACCGGGAGCCACTCGAGGTGCTGTGTTACGGAGTAAGGAGTATAATTTAAGCGGATAGGTGGTGAAGATAACGGTTAACCCTATACTTGAATAGGTTAAAACTGTAGTGAGCGGGAAAACATCCTCTTAGGAGTCAGTTCCACAGAGTAGCGCTTCGCGAGGAGAACTGAATTCATTCCTAAAACAACTATTATTCTGATAAATCTGATTTCTACACACACACACAGACACGCACGCATATATAGTGATTTTTAAGCTTAGCTTAGATGTGGCACAAGGCCGAAAGTAGGGGGAACCCAATGAGGATAGAAGTCACTAATCAGTCATAATTCTAGCGAGACAAGCTTGCTAACCATTGCACCGCCTCGAGGTACCCTCCCCCCATATATATATATATATATATATATATATATATATATATATATGAAGAAATATAGTTCTAGGGTGTGCTATATTTATGGGATAAAGTGCTCAATATCAGAGATAGAGCGTATGTAAACACTCATAGACGAAAGGTTGTTTCATGCTAGACGCAATCGTCAGGCCTCCCTAACGACTGCGTCTGTTGATTGCGTCTAGCATGAAACAGCCTGTCGCTTCTGAGTGTTGACTCCATTGTTCACTTTTATTATATATATATATATATATATATATATATATATATATTTGTAAGCAGTAATACCCAGTTTTGCGCTGACTTGTCTCTTTCCTTTGCATCGCTGACGAAAGTGCTCTTGTTTTGTTTGTGAGATTTTCGTAAGCCGAAATAGTAATATAACAAAAATTAGCCTAATTTAAGCAATTTCATTATAAAATCCTTCTACAAAGCATTCGTATATTTTTAAAGATTAAACGAAAACTAACTGGAAATGAATAAGAAACTGTTATCATTAATTTGATTTTTGAAACTGAAATTAAACATCAGTCATCTCCTTTAAGACACGATTACACAAAAGACAGAAACCGCATTTATCAATTGCGATTTTTTTATTATGCCCAGGTCCAGGGTGTTCAAACTTAATGTAGTAATTCTATTGGGACGACGGAGTTGAGCAATTTCATCTTGAAACCAGTGTATATGTGAAATTCGTATTTGACTATGTACATTTTATAGTAAAAATAACAGCAATATATTTTCAGAGTAAAAAAAAAAATACTAGCAATATATTTGTGTAAGAAATAAAAACTATCGCTAACAATACATGTTTGAAAAAAAAACAAAACTTACCAGCAATACATTTTTGTAAAAGAAATTAAGAATGCCCCCAAGAAAATTAAATTTCAGCATTAAATGATCCATAAGAAACAGATATGACGTTAAACAAACGAGAAAAATGACAATAAGATAATTTTACCAATATAACATCCAGGAGAATAAGACATTGCGTCTTCTTGTGCTCACGTTTTCCACTGACATGAAGTGGAATAGTTATATTGTATCAATGGCTAGTTTTCCTGCTAGGGATACTGCTTCACTGTTTCGTGTCAGAGAGTTCTCCCCCCCCCCCGAAAACATTACATTTATAAATCTATCATTCTTCCTTGCATTGAATACTGCTGACACATAAGGTCGGGGACTTCTGCTACATATCTCATGATTCTCGACAAAATCCAAAGATTGGTTTATGTTAGCGGTTCTTATCTGTCAATTCCAATTCAGCCACATTCCCACAGCCCTCAGTCTGACTTCCCTCTCTCTTGTCTATTTCTTGCCAATTGTTCAAATGAGCTCCCCTCCTCGGTAAATAGTAAATAGTTTTGTTTTCATATTGTAAATGCACATTGGGGCTAGTTTTTAAAGACAATGTATTGTAGATATGGGTGCTAGTTAGAACATTCATGGAGACAATTAGTTATTATAGTAGATACAGTAAGAAAGGTAAGTAAAAATGCGTTGTTTTGGTGTTAGGAATATTGTCTTTGGGTCAGTCTTTGTGGCTGGCTAAGATTAAAGTTAAGACGGATGAAAACCGTTTTTTCTCCATTCCCCATTTTGGTCTTGTGCCACATTTTGTATCATTGTAAAAATAAATATCGATCTCTTCCTCAGTAAATAGTAAATAGTTTTGTTCTCATATTGTAAATCCTCATTGTGGCTAGTTTTTAAATTGTTGATTTATTCCCCTCCCTCTACAGATAATGAATTGTACCTATAGAAACTAGTTAGAATTTTCTTAGAGATAATGAGGTATTATGGTGGATGTAGTAAACAAGGTAACTAAGAATGCGTTGTTTTGTTAGGAATATTGTGTTTGGGTCATTGTTTGTGGCTGGCTAAGTTTAAATTTAAGGCAGATGAAGACCGTCCTTTTCCCCAATCCCCATTTTGGCCTTGTGTCACATTTTGTATCATTGTAAAAATAAATATCAATCTCTTACTCGGTAAATAGTAAATAGCTTTGTTCTTATATTGTAAATACTCATTGGGGCTAGTTTTTCAATTTTTGTTTTATACGCCCACCAGACAACGAATACATATGGGGGCTAGTTAGAACTTTTATGGAGACATGGGGTATTATAGTGAATGTAGTAAGAAAGGTAAATAAAAATGCGTTGTTTTGGTGTAAGGAATATTTTTGTATGTTTGGGTCAGTGTTTGTGGCTGCCTAAGTTTAAAGTGAAGACAGATGAATAGCGTCCTTTTCCTCATTCTCCTTTTTGGCCTTGCGTCAGATTTTCTGTAGATAGCAGAAATAGATATCTCTCTCCTCCTCGGTACACATTGTATATATGCAGACTAGTTAGGATTTCATAGAAACGTGGTGGTATTATGGTGACTGTAGTAAGAATGTTCAGTAAGAATCGGTTTTTTGGTGTAAGGAATATTGTGGTAGGTTTGAATCAGCGATTGCAGCTACTTAAGTTAAAGACAGTTGAAGACCAGCATTTCCCATTCACAATGGTCATGTGCCACATTCCTTGTAAATTAAAAGAATAAATATCACTCTCCTCCGTATTACCTCGACTGCATGAATTTGAGCGATATACTAGATTGGCAATTAGGTCTCATTATTTTACTGCTGAAATATCTATGCAATCATAAGTTCTATTCGAATAGAGTTACTTTTCTTGCATTTCTTACTTTCTGGCTTCCCTGCCAGGTACGATCTTCAAATACAGTGTAACCCGGATGTAAGAGAGTTGTCGGGACCGGAGAAGAAGTCTCTTATATCCGGGTTTCTCTTATATCTGGGATTGGTCTATTTTATATACATTAACACAGGCTCTAATCTGGGACCAGAGAAAATCTCTCTTATATCCGGTTTTCTCTTATATCCGGGTCTCTTATATCCGGGTCTCTTATATCCGGGTTACACTGTATTTAAATGCCATCTTCCTGAAACCAGTTCTCTCATTATCCTTTAAAGTCATCTAAAGTTTACTCATTTGTTTTTACTCTCAGTAAACCCCTTGGCGTCTTAGCGGCATTTTCGTCTAGCTTGGGGTGAAATGATACAAAACAATATATGTATATTCCAAATTCCATCATACACTGACAGAATATCGATCTGTTTCAATCTGCTTTGATTTCCTTCTCTTTTGCTCGAGTTGTATCACGAAGTACTCCTTTCATTTATCTATCAATCTCAGTTCGTTCATTACCGTTTATTTGTAGCGATCTCTCTCGATCTGTATTTACTACAGTCTCTATTGCTCGAGATATATCCCAAGACCCCCCCCGCTTTCAATTATCTATTGACCTGTTTTGCGGTCTCTCACTCTATCTTTCCTTCTCTGTCTAAATGTATCGATCTATTTCAATATGCCATTACTGTCGATCCAGTCGTTCCATATTACTATATGGTCGGCTTGATTACCCACCCGGAGCATATAGCCTGTACATTCGTCTATCTCAAGTTTACAATTTCCGATAGTGAGTCTCTATATATGCGCCTCTATGTGGAGCAGGTTTATATTTACCTTCCCAAACAGAGGGCTTACAGTGAAGTTAAGCAACGTCAAGCCTGGTCAGAATTTTCGAATAAATGATCATCTCTTTTTTGCTCTCTGCACTTCACCTCCTCGCTCACTATTAATATTCTTCTCTCTCTCTTGGAATTTTACATAACTAACGCGTTCTTGTCTCTCTCTCTCTCTCTCTATCTCTCTCTGTTTTTGTGTTTCTTTTCTCTTTCCTGTCCCTTTACAGACAAACTTCTCTTTCATGCCTTTTTAAAAAAACTTCTAGAACTTGTACAGACACAAGTATAGAACACCAACCTAGAACTGAACTCCGAGAATTATAATGGTCTTATAGACAGGTTTCTATTACTCTACGGCAGGAAACCATTCATACAATATTAAGCATTGGCGTTCAAGTCTCGGTTTTGAAATGCTGATTCTCAAAGTGAGTAAAGGCTTTCGGACGTATCAGGTTGAAACATTGGTTCTCGTACGATCACCGAGGTTAAGCAACATCGAGCCTGGTTAGTACCTAAATAGTATCTAAAAATATTTTCTGGTTTTGAATAACCTGCAAAATTGGGTAGTCGTTGATTTGGGATGCGACCTGTGCGGATACATTTTCGGCCGGTAATTTGATCAGGTCCGCGGTTGAGCCAGGATCCGTCGCCCGGGACGCAGAGATTAAAAAAATAGTTAAATATTCTTCTCTTGCTGAAAGATTTTTTTTTACTCCTGTGGCAGTGGAGACTACTTGGGTTATTGGCTCTCGTTCGATGGCGTTCCTTCGGAGGATTGGCGCGATTGCGTCTCGATTAAGGGACAAGCCTCGCGAAACGGAGTGGCTCTTGCAGCGTGTCTCATTGGCGATGGTTCGTGGTAATGCTTTCTCCATCATAGCGGCTGGCAGAGGATAGCAAAAAAAAATTGTTTATAGTTTCTGGAATTGGTCAACTGAACTTGCTTTGTTTCAATAATATTGCATTGCTTTTATAAGCTGCAATGGGTTGATAAGCCATATAAAAAAAAGAATCAATCAACTAAATATTTTTATGATTTATCAACCTTTTTGTTAGTTATTCAAAGCCAGAAAATAGTTTGAGATTCTAAGAAATTTCTGGAGCTAATAATGACATTTTACTGATACAAGTTCAACTAATTAACCCATAGCTAGAGTCGACTTTTCCCAACGGTATTTGCGCGTAATTGAATATAACGAACCCCAAAGAGAATTGAATCTTGGCTGTCGGATTAACAATTCTGAGCCGTTATCTTTGACACCACCCTCACACCCAAGCTTACAGCACCTGGTATTCCCAAACGGCCACTGATCTAGGTAGTGAGCAGTCATTTTGGGCTTGAATTATTATCATTATTGTTGGCGTTTAGAGACTGAGCCATTATTCTTAGCGTTTTGGTAGATTTTTGGCCGTTTTGAAATTGGCTCATTTTTGCTCAAGAGTATAAGTTTGGGAATAACCTCTGATTTTCAAGCAATCGTCTAAAATTTGAACGGCACGTATCTGATTCAAAACTAATTATACTGGCTAACTTCTGTCCATTCAGACTTTCTCTAACTGAAAGGTTTAGAATATATTTAATAATAATAATAATGATAATAATAATATGCAATATTTTACCAATATAATATTAAAACCACTTTTTGTTTTCACGTTTTTCATTGACATGAAGTGGATGATGTTGATCGTCTGTCTGTGCCCAGATCCGAAGGAGGCAGAGGATTAGTTCAACTAGAACTATCTTACAAAACTACAACTGGCCGTCAAAGACACCTAGAAACTACAGAAGACTGGATGATGATCTGTGTCAAAGATGAAAGTAGTAAGCGACTTTATTTTGTAATAAAGGAAGGCAACAAGTTCAAAATGGAGTTTCAAGTGGGTGAAGAAATACAAGTAAAGCATAAAACACCGACTGAAGCTGCAAAATACTTAAAAAAAAACAAACAAAGGCAACCAACCAGATACAGAAACAATGGCAAGATAAACCTCTTCACGGTCAATACTCTGTCCGTATCAAACCACCTGATGTAGACAAACCCCGTGCCCATCAGTGGCTACGTAGTGCAAGGTTAAAAGCTGAAACCTAAGGATTTATCCTAGCTGCGCAAGGCCAATGGTTGCTAAGAAATTACAGAGGACACATACTGAAAAAGTGTGTTACTTCAAAATGCAGATTATGTGATAAATATCCACAAACAATTGACCATCTTGTATCAGGTTGCGTGGTATTGGCACCCACTGAATGTAAAAACACGGCACGACGAAAAGGAAAAATCATTATGACCTTTTCCACGCACGCGTAGACTGGCGCACACGATGGAAAGCACACACGTATACACGCACAAATACACTATGAAATTAAAAAAAAAAACTTGCACCAATGAAAAGTGGTTATAAAAAATCGAGAAGTATAAACAGTCATTTGATGATACCTCCCCCACACCCAAAGAGTAGACGGAGTAATTCCAGGAGAGTCCGTCTACGATACTCTGGTGTCGGAATGCTGTAGGTAACATCATTCAGCTAAGTAACAAACCTTTTACTTGCATTAATTCTCTCTCTATTTCTCTCTCTCTCTCTCTCTCTCTCTATATATATATATATATATATATATATATATTAAAGTGGACAAATATTGGTCTGACGACTGCTTCAGCATGGAACTGACTGTTGACTTCAATGTCTACTTCTAAATTTACATAAGCTCTATTCTTGATATTGGGCACTTTAACCCATAAATATAGCATATCTTAAAACTCTCTCTCTCTCTCTATATATATATATATATATATATATCGTGGACTCTCCTATTGTGAACGATAAATGACGTTCAGCACTGGATGGTGCTTTTTGTTTTACACTTATGCAGGCTAGCAGAGGCTATTGTGGAGAAAATCAGGTAAGGGAAAGACATATTTCATTTGTGCTTTCTTGAGTGTGATACTAGCCAGCCTATATATATATATATATATATATATATATATATATATATATATATAGTGGACTCTCCTATCGCGAACAGTAAATGAAGGTCAGTATTTAATGCTGAATTTCGTTTTTACTTTTGCATGCTAGCAGAGGCTATTGTGGAGAAAAATCAGGTAAGGGAAAGACATTTCATTTGTGCTTTCTTGAGTGTGATACTAGCCAGCCTATATATATATATATATATATATATATATATATATATATATATATATATATATATATATATATATATATATATATAGTGGACTCCTATCGTGAACAGTAAATGAAGATCAGTATTTAATGCTGAATTTCGTTTTTTACTTTTGCATGCTAGCAGAGGCTATTGTGGAGAAAATCAGGTAAGGGAAAGACATATTTCATTTGTGCTTTCTTGAGTGTGATACTAGCCAGCCTATATATATATATATATATATATATATATATATATATATATATATATATATAGGACTCTCCTATCGTGAACAGTAAATGAAGGTCAGTATTTAATGCTGAATTTCGTTTTTTTTACTTTTGCATGCTAGCAGAGACTATTGTGGAGAAAATCAGGTAAGGGAAAGACATATTTCATTTGTGCTTTCTTGAGTGTGATACTAGCCCAACCTTTGCTGTGGCCGACAAAGCCCCACTGTTGAAGCAGGGTTTATCACGGTGCTTCAGTCTATTGCCTTCAAAACCCTTTAATTTATCGAAACATGTCTTACGCCACTCCTTTCGGTTTGATGTTTGGGCTTTCCAGGTTTTCGGATCAAAGATGAGACGTTTCAAGTTGTCTTTCAATTTGTCTTTGTAGCGTAAGAATCAACATCTAACTGAACGCTTGGAGTTTGGTAGCACCTTTTTTTTTGGAGGGACCTTTTTAGAAGCCTATGCTCATCCATTCTCAGAACATGACCAGCCCACCTGAGAAGTTGTATCTTTGCTTGAACGGTTTCAATGCTTGTGATGTTATATTTCTTCAGTATTGCACACACACACACACACACACACACACACACACACACACATATATATATATATATATATATATATATATATATATGGATGCCATAGATTATAATATAATTTTACAAATGTTGCACTAGATTTTGAAATGCGATTTTCTGTTTTTTGGGGCTTTTTGCGTTGCCTGATCCCACTGAACCGAGAGGAGTGAACTTATAAATAATTTGTTTGTTTACCATCAAAAAATACATTTGGAAGCCCGGCTGGATGTGAGCCAAGGATAGGCTGATAAATAATTTCAGTTTTTGTAATTCTGGTGGTAAATTCCGAAGCTTTACACGCATCTAAAAAAGCATTTATGCAGGTTTCCATGTCTGCTTGGTTGTGAGCTACAAGAGCACAAACATCTTCAACAGATCCATTAAGGTATTAAAGAGACAGATAGCTTGACCAGCTGATAGACGCAACCGTTCTCGATGTGATTAAAGCGGTAAAAGGGCCAACGACGTAAATGAGAAGACATGATATATCGAATTCATGCTAGGTAAACCATCGACAGCTTCCGAATGATTCAATCTACCGAATTTAACTCACAGGGAATGGATACAGTCGTGCTATAGCTTTCCGGCGTCTTCTAAAGGTACCACTTTCCAAAGGTTCTCAAATCGCCGCCCCAGGCCGATAACATCAAGACTTTACCTGCCTGATAAATCGATCATGGTAAGATTCGAACCAGGGATATATGCATTTCTGTGTTTGTATGGCGGTATTTATCGAAAGGGTATGATACAAGGCCGTGTTCAAAGCTAGCTGACGTAATTGCGTATCTTCCATCGACGCCAGTAGTCGGTGCTTGAGTCAGTCAAAATAGCTTGCTTGTAAACAATGTTGGGGTTTTTAGGCTCCAAGACTGATTTCATTACTTGCTGTTTAAATAAAAAGAAGACAGCAGGAAAAAAAAAAATGGAGTGATTTGGTCTGAAATATAAATTCACTTGAGATCGAAGCAGACATTTATTTCCAACAGTCAATATTATTAGCATTTATTATTGAATTTATTCAGAAAATTTCATTTTCATTTAATTTGTTTAGAATATGGGCCCGTCTCTCTATCTCTATCTCTCTCTCACGACAGATATCAGAATCCAGATATGTACATACATACATACATACAGAAATACACGGACACATACATACACTTCAACATACATATATGTATATTTGATATATGATGGCTTACAGGAATATCACGTTGAAACACTAGTTCTTGTCCGATCACCGAAGTTGAGCCTCGTCACTACTTAGATGGGTGACCCCTTGGGAATATCAGGTACTGTAAACTTGTATGTGCAATATGGGAGTTGTATTATAAATAATATAAATATTGTATTGTATATCATTACTATAAATAAACGGTTCGAATTCCAGTCGGGTTTGTTAATTCACTTATGCGCGAATACACTTGGATGATTGCAATAAGAGACGGAACTAAAGAAGCACCTTGAAGAAGGCTTCAGTAAATAGAGTGGCACATCACGGGGCTAAGAGGAAATAATAACAAAACAGGGTATATATATATATATATATATATATATATATATATATATATATATATATATATATATATATTTAAATTGTGTGTATTTAGGCAACGTTTTTACTTTGTAGTTTTCACTCTCGCTTGGTCATTTGTGACGTCATGAGCTGCGGTGCGATTTTCACTTCCAGCGTCTCGAGTTTGTAGTTGTTTGCAAATCTTCTATGTAAACAAAAGCAGACTATCATTGTCTTGTACGTATTTTTTTAATATGTTGTAATGTAATTGTCATCTTTGATAACGGTTTATATAAGCTGAAAGCTTAGATAGGATTAAAAAATATGTATCAATATTGTGATTTTTTTCTTCTTTTAATGATAATGTTATTAAGCTTATCAGACGATATGAAAAGAATTTACATAAAATAAATAGACAAAACTTTTCTGTATTATTTAATGAAATATATATATATATATATATTATTTTTATAAAAAAAATTATAACATAAGTATGTTATAAAATCACTACAAAAATAGCCATTTTGTTTTAACACACTCTGTGTCTTATCAAGTGATGATGTTGAAAATAAAATAAATGGTTTTAAAAGTTTCAGATTAATTAACGATCCTACACTGGGGGGAAACATTGTTACAAAAGCTAGAATAACCAATCAAAAACGAAGTATAGAAAGATTCAAAAGCTTGACAACGAAATCCTGCTCTAATAGCTATTCATATCTTTAAATACGTGTAATATTAAAAATAATTTATACTAACTAATAATTATAAATTTACATGATAAAATTTAATATTAAAATTAAAAACTGGCAATTTTTAAAAACCAAATTTAATCACTATTAAGTTTAAAAACTACAAAATTATTGATAAAAGAAAAATATATATGTGTTTATTCAATTCATTTCTTCATTGAAATTACGTTCGAGAAGACCAGACGCATTTACATCCGGTCATTTGATAATACATGTATATATATTTTTTCTCTTTTTCCCTTCTTTTCTGTGAGATGGATAATTGTGCAGTAACACGATTTGGACAATTTTGCTGCGACACCCGGAGTACGCACACACACACACACACACACACACACACACACACACACACACACACATATATATATAACTTTTTTATGTTTATACATTCTTTTTATAGATACAAGTATTTAAGTAAATGCTCTGTTTATAATAAACAGTATTAATAACATTTACCGGCCTGAATGTCCGAGAAATTCTCATAGAAAATATTCGTCCTCCAACAGGAATCTAACCTGTATCATATACGGAACCGTCGTTTAGCTTGACGTGCCTTAACCGATTGAGCCACAGAGGATCGTTCTAATGCAACAGTATTATATATGAGAGGGACTTGAAGACCACGAAAAAAGTGGGGTACACTAAGAATCAGTGCTCAAACTGAGCTTAGCTGTAAATTCTAGGTTGAATTGATTTGTTTTACGGCATATCAACCTCAATGGGTTATTTAATGCCGACAAGATTTTTATGGCTGCTAATATATTTTTAAAATGTATTGTTGGTAATATTATTCCTAAAATGTATTGCTGGTAATATTGTTTCTCAAAAAATGTATTGCTGGTCCAAAAAAGTATTATTGGTATTAAAACTTTTTTTATATTTTCATAGTGTTTTGGGCCCAGTTTGGGGGTTAACTATTTGCCCATAGATGGGAGTCTAACAGGTGCTACCGCTCCGGGACAGGGTGGTCCTGGAAACACAAGCAATTATGAGGTGGTTCCATGTTCCTCAAAACCTAAAATATAGTTTATCGTCTTATTTAGGACGCAGATGTAGTTTATCGTTTACCCAGGACGGTCTAAAACTAAGACTCCTGGAAGAGATCAAAAATGATATCAATAAAAAATAACCCTGAAAAATTCGACCAGGAAAAATAAATTAAGAATTTTGTGGAATTGTAAAAAATTTTGCTGCTTGCTTTACAGAAATACCAGGTTTTACAAAAATATTTGCTTTGACTGGTGTGTTGTTGCTTGCTTTATGTGCGCTTTGTTAATATTAGCAACATGGCCCGGCGTTGCCCGTGCTTGATTCAAAAATCGTACGACTCATACAGCAATCGCTATCACTTGACTTAAAATATTTTTGCCCTTCCTTGCCTTTAAAGGAATGCCCTTTGCCGTGTTGATGTTGCTACATGCCTTACCTCTTGCCTATCTCACACTGTGAATTTTTTCTAAGCTCTATACTAAACATTAAATCTGTTACGAAAAAAGAACTAAACAAAATGAACACAAAACGATCAGCTTTAAAAAAAGCACTCGTAACTGGAAAAACCGAATGAAAAAAGAATGTTAACAACAAATACTTTTTTACACCCAACCCAGTTCTGCGGAATCAGAATCAACGTGAAGTTTAAGCAAGTGAATGAGCCAATTGGAGTAAAGTGCTATGCAGATTTAAATTTTTCCCACTTGTGACGGATGAAGTTATCGATTTTTTTTGCATATTGGCTATTGGCTTTCACTCTGGCCAGTAGAAAATGGCCGCAAACTACATGAAAACTGCCGTAGAAGCATGAAAAATCGATTATTTTGCACTATCGATGGGAGTTGGGAAATGCAAAGTTGGTCTTGGCTTTTCCACTAACTTGGAGCATGTGCATGTAAATTTTGGTGCAAATCCGTCGAAAATTGCAGTCGTGCATTCGTTACATACATACATACATTCTACCTTTTATAGATAGAGATACAGGTATTGGAATTTGCTTTTCTGCATGTAATGAGGTAGTGATTTTCCAAGCGTAGATTAGATTTGGCACAAGGCCGAAAGTAGGGACATCCAGGGAGGATCGAACTCACTATTCAGTCGTAACTGTTCTAGCGAGACAAGCTTGCTAGCCATTACACCACACCGAGGTGCCCTGATTTTCTGCATGTATGCTATGGGACTTACCAACAAGTACCATGTTTCTGTTTTTTTTTTGTATTTTTGGCCTATTACCATAGTGATTTTCCAAGTGTAGCTCAGATGTGGCACAAGGCCGCGGTGATTTTCTAAGCCCGGCTTAGATGTGGCACAAGGCCGAAAGTATGGGGCACCCAGTGAGGATCGAACTCATTACTCAGTCGTAATTGGTCTAGCAAGACAAGCTTTCTAACAATTACACCACACCGAGGTGCCCTGCTTTTCTGTATGTTCTGGTGTATTGCTGCTTGCTTTATGTGCGTCTTGTTAATACTGGCAGCATGGCCCGGCGTTGCCCGTGCTTGATTCAAAAATCGTACGACACATACAGCAATCGCTATCACTTGACTTAAAATATTTTGTCCTTCCTTGCCTTTAAAGGAGTGCCCTTACCAACAAGTACCATATTTCTGGGGTTTTTTTTTGCCTATTACCATATGTACCAGTTTTCACTGATACAAATAGATTTAATTGTAGCTATTAGGAATTTACTGCATGTGCAAATTTGCTCCCTGAAAAACAGAAAAAATAATTTTCAATGAATGCCTGAGAAAATGCACTAAAATTCTTTTCCAAAAAATGTCTAATTAAAAACAGTACCAGTAGTATAATTTGTACTAATACTGTAATTAATTCTTCATGGTTAGTGATAATGTCACACAAAGGTAAGGTTATAATTTTGATTTTTTTTTGGCGGGGTGGGGGTGATGTGTGGTTTTTTTCTTTCCTAAATATTCCATGCCAAAATCCGGGTGCGTCCAGGGTGTGGGTGCGTTCTATAAATATGGTAAATACAATTTAACCCATCTTCAAGAGTTGTGAATGATTTTCCTATTTATCACCTGAGGACGGCTGAGCCACTACGAAGCCCAAACGAAAAGACTAGAAGATTCAGTATTCTGCTTCTGAATACCCTGTCCATTTAGAATGCTGGCTCTCTGCAATGTCCTGTCTTTTGTAGCACTTAATCAATTTTGTCTGTTTGCTATCTCTCCTAAACGTTGCCCGCCACCCATTTACACAAATTCGCTAAGAAGCTTGTTTTCCTCTGTTCCTCTTGCCTTTAAACTGTCTTGTGAATATCAACATTTCTAAGACTTCCTTTCTCATTATGTGCCTAGGCTAGAAATTTTAACTGTCTTGATCTTAAGTATAAGTGTTCTTTTTCTTCTTCTAAAATTACATAATTACTCATATATTCGGTATTTTCAGCATTCTTCAGTAGAACCACATTTCTTTTCCGCCAAGTCTTTACATCAGTGGGGAGATTGTTCAGCATTCACTGCCATATAGAAGAACTGATATTACGCAACAGTTCAGCATTATTTTCTTCGTTTTTAACAGAATTTTCTTGTTTCCTAACACTGCTAAGCCTTCGGATTTCAGTGTCGCACTTTTCGTCCTCTGTTAAAACACTTCCCAGCTATTTAGATTGTTGCATTTGTCGAATTTTATTTATAGCTTTCATGTACTGTTTCCATTTCTATCTATCTATCTATCTATCTATCTATCTATCAGGCATATTTTATCTATCTGTTATGGTCCGGTTCCTTGTACCGCGTTGATAGTCCAAGGTAGAACCAATAAAGAAGAACTCGAACACAGATATGGAATAACACAGATATATTACAACAGGAATATATACAGAGAAGTAGAAAGTGTTAGTACGAACAATAAGGTTTAGTAGTAATTGTCTAAATGCGACTCTGTTTCGGTTTGCCTCTGACTCGACTGACTGACTCGCTGGCTCCTACTGACTGACAGACTCCTGACGAACTTCACTCCAGACTTCAGACTGAACAGTATACCACCACGAGGGTATCATGTGGCACAAGGCCGGTTTAACGTGGGATCTCCGAGCCCGTGGGCTCGGTCAAATATATGCACTTTGAACCCGTATAAACGGGTTCAGGGTCGGTTTACCTCCCCAAACGAGACTCCGCCCCTCGGCGTAGCCTCCTTCGGGTTCCTCTCTGACCGAAGGCAGAGAGTTCAACCGATCAGCCGGTCAGCCGGTCGCCCGACTTCGGACTGAACGGTATATAGTCACCCCCACACGGAGGGCATCATGTAGCACAAGGCCGGTTTACCGTGGGATCTCCGAGCCCGTGGGCTCGGCCAAAAATATTCCCTTTGAGCCCGTATAAAAGGGTTCAGGGTCGGTTTACCTCCCCGAAATAGACTCCGCCCTTCGACGTAGCCTCGTCCGGGTTCCTCCCCGCCCGAAGGCAGAGAGTTCAACCGATCAGCCGGTCAGCCGGTCGCCCGACTTCGGGCTGAACTCCCTGCTTCCTCTTGAGGCGCAGTATTTATTACGTATGGAATAGTCCATTATGTCATTATGGGTAAGGTCCCATAACACTATCTATCAGACATAATCTATCTATCTATCTATCTATCTATCTATCTATCTATCTCACCGAATAAATCTCTGTGGATATCAGTGCATATCTATCTATCTATCTATCTATCTCAGTGAATACGTCTCTTCTTTCATTTTTTTCTTCTATTCTCTCTTTTCGTTTATACTCACCTGTTTCTGCATCTATCTATCTATCTATCTATCTATCTCACCGAATACATCTTTGTGGATATCAGTGCATATCTATCTATCTATCTATCTATCTATCTATCTATCTATCTATCTATCTATCTATCTCACCGAATACATCTTTGTGGATATCAGTGCATATCTATCTATCTATCTATCTATCTATCTATCTATCTATCTATCTATCTCACCGAATACATCTCTGTGGATATCAGTGCATATCTATCTATCTATCTATCTATCTATCTATCTATCTATCTATCTCACCGAATACATCTCTGTGGATATCAGTGCATATCTATCTATCTATCTATCTATCTATCTCACCGAATACATCTCTGTGGATATCAGTGCATATCTATCTATCTATCTATCTATCTATCTATCTATCTATCTATCTATCTATCTCACCGAATACATCTCTGTGGATATCAGTGCATATCTATCTATCTATCTATCTCACGTCTCCTTTCTTTCTTTTATTCTTTCTTCTATTCTCTCTTTCCGTTTATACTCACCTTTTTCCGCAACTTCGACCTAAGATTTAACACCTAATTCCTTGTTAACCTTTTGTAATATCCTTTATTTTTATTATCTCCCCTGTCGATTTCTTATGAATTTTTCAAAAAAGTTGTTGACAATTCAATCTACTCTGCATTAATTTTTTTCCCAGTTTTGCTTTCAATATTTGATATACGTGCTTCCGTTGCCACGATTTCAAGAAAACCGTGTCGAATAGATATTCTGGATGTGTTTGAAACGCAATTTCCCTAAACACCTGAAATGGATCTCACTGTCTAAAATTACTACACTTTATTCTTTTTTTTTTTTAATAACTTTCCTTCAAAACTGTGAAGTCTTCACTAGCACGTGACGCTTTCCAACTCATGTGGTTCAAGATTCACACTTGAGCATGTACACTTTATTTTTGGAATTAATAAATTGATTTTTTTTAGAAAGACAATGCCTTTTCCTTGCTTGAAAAATCCATAGTTATTATTGATTGCACCTTGCAAAATCTGTATTGAATTTGGCTATCGAGTAAACGTAGGTGAACTTCACACTTAACAACATTAGTTTAGTTACCATATATTTCCGTGTATAAGATGACCTTTTAAATCCCCCAAAATCATTCTTTAAAATTGGAGGTCATCTTATACTACCATTCTAAAAAAGAAACCTTAAATTCTGTGTGATGTATCAATGAGACCATCGAAACCGTTTCCAATCAAACCGAGGGCTCAAACTACAACTGGAATTGTTGATGCCCCCATGTGCCACAATTTTGAGATTTCGATTTCAAAGTACTTGTATTTTGATAGTATTTTGAAGATCTTCAAAGATACATTACAATCTGCAGGGAGTGTCATGTCAATAAGGCACATTCTGTTTTTATGGTCTTTGATCACGATGTCTGGAAGATTAGTTTTGATTCTTCTTTTTCCTCCTCCTCTTCTTCTTCTTGTTCTTCTTTTTCTTGTTCTTGTTCTTGTTCTTGTTCTTGTTCTTCTTCTTCTTCTTCTTCTTCTTATTATTATTATTTTATTTGATTTGATTTATGGTGTGTACTCATTTCTTTCCGGGTTCCGACCAGAGACCTAAGGACAGAAATGGCACCATGACATTTTCCACTGAGCAATTTAAAAACAAAAAAAAATATCACACACATATTTTACATAGCTAAAGCCCTTTGTAAGGTGTGGGTTGTATTCGTGAGAACATTTTTTTTGTATTTCTTTAAGTCATGGGCTACCAGAAATCCCTTCAATGAGTCTACTGGAATCTTTTCCAATCAATCCGAGGGCTCAAACTACAATAGGGGTTGTTGATGTTCTAATGTACCATATTTTTGAGATTTCGATTTCAAGGTCCTTATATTTTGAGAGCTTTTTGAAGATATTCAAAGATTCATTGCAGTCTGCAGGGACTGCCATATCAATAAGAAGGCACTTTTTTGTTTTCAGTCTCTAATAACGATGTCTGGGTGATTAGCTTTGATTGTTCTGTCTGTGTATATTGTGAAGCCCCATAAAATTGTTACCTTTTCTATCTCCGTAATCGTGTGTGGTTGGTGTTCATACTAATTTCTTTCAGTTCCTTTCGGTAGAAGTTGCTGATTTTTCCACTCTGTCAATTGTTGTAGTCTTGTAAGAGAGTTCTAGTTGAACTAATCTCCTGACTCCTTCGGATCTGGGCAGATACAGATGATCAACATCAGCTTTGGGAAGATGCATGCGGTTGCAGGTGAGAAGCTTTCTCGTTTTGGTGTCCACTAGTTTAATGTCAGCTCTGGTCGAGTTAAGGATGTTAAAAGTGTATTGCACTACAAGGACAGCCAAGGTGTTTATGGCTGATATTCTGTTTTTTTTTTTTTAATCAGTTCGGTACTCTTTACCAGACGTACACGTCTATAGTACTCAGTTATTACCTTCTCCATCATTTGGGTATGCTGTATTCTATCTCCTCTAATTCGTAGGTACTTATAGGCTTCATTTGTTCCAATTCCCTACTCTTTGTATCAAAATCTAAATCGATAGAGTTTGTTTCTGTAAATCTCCCTTCTTTGAATGTTACTTTTGCAGCTTTATCTATTCCGAAATCTATGCCTATGTCGTCACTGAAACATTTTACAGTATTGAGGAGACGCTTCAACTCATTGTCTTATTTGGCAAAGAGTTTGAGATCATCCATATAGAGTAGGCGATTGAATACTTTCTTGTTAATTTGTAACCATAGATATTGTTGTTTAGTTCATGTGCAAGGAGGATTAAGGACAGACAAAACAGATGGGGTGACAGGATGTCCACTTGAAAGATTTCTCGTCGGATATTCATTCGGTGTGATTTAGGTATAATGTGGTGTTCCACATTCCCATGCTGTGTTTAAGAAAATTTACTATCGCGGTGGAGACTTTGTATATTTCCAAAGTCCTAAGGATCCAAGAGTGTGACACACTATCGAAGGCTTTACGATAATCAATGCACGTTACGCTAAGATTTCTACATTGTCTCCTGCAGTTTTCCAGGGCCATTTTCTTTATCAGTTGTTGATCTTTGTAACCATATAACACTCTCCTGCATCCCTTCTGTTTCAGTGGGAGAATGTTGTTTGCTTCGAAAAAGGTGTAAGGACAGACGTGATCAATTTATACGTGGTGAACAGACATGTTTTTGGCCTATAATTTTTCGGATCATTTGTTTCACTCGATTTTTTGGCATGAAATATGTAATGCCTTCGGTGAATCATTCCGGTATTTCGTTGGGTTTATTTATAAGCGTTGATAGAGCCTGTGCAAGGTTTTTATGGATTGAGGAGAAATTAAAGAGCCAGAAATTGGGCACATTGTCATTTCCTGGGGATTTCCATTTTTGGGATTTCGTTAGAGGCTGCCTAACATTATTCGTGGTTATATTTTCCCACACTTGCAGAGGTTTATCCAGCATTCTTTCTTCTTCACGTTAGATCCATTCTGCATTGGGGTTATATTCCTTTTGGCTGCTCCAAATATTCTCCCAAAATTTCTGCACCTTGTCAATAGATAGTGTCTTTTTGATATGTACAGATGCATATATTTTGGCGATAGAACCTGAACCGTTTTTCGTATCGTCTTGTTCTCTGTGCCTTTAACTGCTGTTTCTGTTTCAACATTTCCTTGAACTTCATTTAACTGATTAACTTTCTTGCACTTGCGTGTTGAGATATTTGGGTTTCTAGGGATCTCATCTAACATAAAAATCTCACATCTGTTTTCCAGCCTGAGTGTCTTTTTTTTTGTTTAAGTTTTTCATTGTCTTGACTCTTAAACTTCCTAATAACCTCTAAAGCTGTTGCGTGTATGACACTGTTACCTTCTGTGATGTTTTCCAGTAGTTTGTCAGTTAACAGTGTTTCCAGTGCAGCGTTGTATATTTGCACAATGTGCTGATTGGACTTTTTCATATGAATTTTTGCGGGCTTTTATATCTGTCTGACGTTTGTGTGAGAGTTACTCAGCTGAGTATTTGGATGACGTGTTTTTTCGCTTCGCTGATTTCACCTCTACCTGTGATTCTACCTGTGATTTCGCCTGTGTAATTCTAACAATGCAGTTGGAGTCATCTTCAGTGACTTCGTCTTGATAACTGGAGGTTATGTCACAGGTAGATTCTTCGGTTTTACTTCCGGGAATATTATTTCGTGTCTCATTTATTTTAGTTTTTAACTCAGCCTCTGTCATATTATTTATTTTTATTGTCCTATCTTTATTGTTTGAGTGATGGGTTATTTTAGTCTTTCTCATATCTGGTTATATCTTATCTGTTTCTGCCTTTGAGAGTCTTTTGTTTCGCACGATGTCCCTGCGGACATTGGCAAGCAGGTTTGGGTTGAGATGAGGTCTTATTTCACTTCCTACTATGGTTCTCCATATTTGGAATGTCTGAATATGTGGTCTTCTTTTCTAGATTTTTCGAGTTCGGTGAAAAAAAAAGATGTCATGAATTGTTGATACTATTCACAACAAATTTTTCGGCTGAAAACTGGTTCCACTTTTTGTTGTCACTACTCATTTCCTTCCGGGTCCCATCCAGAGATCTATGGTCAGAAATGGCATCATGACATTTTCACTGAACATTTTTGTGAAAAAAAAAAAAAAAAAAAAAGGAAAATTGTTATGGTCCGGTTCTTTGTACCACGGTGATAGTCCAAGGTAGAACCAATAAAGAAGAACTCGAACACGTATATGAAATAACACAGATATATTACAAACAGGAATATATACAGAGATGTAGAAAGTGTTAGTACAAACAATCAGGTTTAGTAGTAATTGTCTGAACGCGACTCTGTTTTGGTCTGCCTCTGACTCGACTGATTGACTCGCTCGCTCTGACTGAGTATTTATCATTTCACCCACGGGAAACGAATATGGCACAAGGCTGGTTTTATTCAGACTAAACTCCTTGCTTCCTCTTGAGGCGCAGTATTTATTACGTATGGAATAGTCCATTATATTATTATGGGTAAGGTCCCGTAACAAAAATAAAACAATCTAAGATCAAACACACATTTTACACTGATGAAGCCCTTCCGAAGGAGTGAGCTTTACTTGTGAGAACAATTTTTTGGTATTTCTTTAAGGCATGTGTTGCCAGGGATCTCTTCAATGAGACTATTGGAACCAAACACAAGTAGAATTATTGATGCCTTCAGGTACCCAATTTTCAGATTTTCACTTCAAGTTCACTGTATTTTGATAATTTCGTTTTCACGTGTGATTTTAGAAGAAAAAAACAACCCGATTGTACTGTCGTCACTCTGAAATCATTACGCAGATAAGATCACCAATAAAGTCCAAAACTCAAAAGGAAAAGACAACGACTTTCATAAAATTGTTTGAAAAATATTTTAAAAATAGAGATGCTTTTCGATTGTAATCAGAAGAATCACAAAGACAGTGAGAGGGAGAAATAAAGAAAGATAAGAGAGGGAGAGCGAGTATAAACAGAGGAAAAAGAGCGCGAAAAAAATGAGAAAGAAAGACTGAGTGTAAAATGAGAGAGAGAGACACACACACACACACACACACACATATATATATATATATATATATATATATATATATATAGAGAGAGAGAGAGAGAGAGAGAGAGAGAGAAAGAGCAAGATAGAATAAGAGCAAGGAGAGACAGAATGGGAAGAGGTGGGAAAGAAAGAGAATAGTGAAATGGAAATGAGATGGAGAAAGATAGAGAGAAAAAGAGTGGGAGAGAGAGAGAGAGAGCGAGTTTAAAGAGAGAAAAAAAGAGAAGGACAAAAATGAGTAATGAGTGGAGAGAGAGATAGATAGAGAGAAAGAGAAGGGAAATTAGTGAGAAAGCAACATTTAGAGGGTGAAAAAGAAAGTGAAATGAACATGTGATTTTATGAAAGATAGGGGGAAATAGAGAATCAGAGAGAGACAGATTAAGATAGAATAAGGGCAAGGAGAGTGAGAGTATGAGGAGGTGAGAAAGAAAGATAAGAGTGAAAAAGTGAGTGAAATGAAAATAGATAGATAGATAGATAGATAGATATGAGGAGAGAGTGAGTAGAAACAGAAGAAAAGATGAGAGACAAAAATTAGAAAGAATGACTGAATGTAAAGAGAGAGAGAGAGAGAGAGAGGGGGAATGAGATAGATAGATAGATAGATAGATAGATAGATAGATAGATAGATAGATAGATAGATAGATAGATAGGAGAGAGCGAGTAGAAACAGAAGAAAAAGATGAGAGACAAAAATTAGAAAGAATGACTGAATGGAAAGAAAGAGAGAGAGGGAGACAAGAGTCAGAGAGAGAGAGAGAAAGAGAGAGAGAGAGAGAAAGAAAGAGAAAGGGATATGGCGAGAAAGCAAAAATTAGAGGGTGAAACAGAGTGAGAAATAAACATGAGATATTATGAGAGAGAGAAAGAGGGAATGAGATAGAGAGAGTAAGGGCAAGGAGAGAGAGAACAGGAAGAGGGGAGAAAGAGAGATCTAGAGAGAGAAAAAGAGAATGAAATTATGAGAGATAAGAAGAGAGAGTTTAAGCTAGAATAAGAGCAATGAGAGAACGGGAGTAGGTGAGAAATATAGAGAGAGTGAAAAAGAGAGTGATATTAGGAGAGATAAAGAGAGTGAAAAAGTGAGAATAAAATAAAAACGAAATATTTCGCGCTCGATAAAGACAGAATGAGAGCAAAGAGAAAGAGAAGAAGAGTAAGCAGGAAAGATAGACGTAGAAAGAGAGAGGAAAAGGGAAAGAGAGATGGTAGTAAAAATTAGATATGTGAGAGAGAAAGATATAGTAAGACGGAGAGAGTGGGTAACAAATATAGCTGGAAAAGAAGGAATGAAACGGAGGGGGAAAAAGAAAGAAAGAAATCAAGAGATATTGTAGATATGTAAGAGAGAAAGAGTCAACAGAAAAAGGAAAGTGAAGGAAGTAGAGAGAGAGGGTGAGAGAGATAGAGAGAGAGAGAGAGGGAGAGAATGAGAAATATAGTAATAAGAATGAGCGGAAGATGGAGGCAAAGAGATAAAGTGTGTGTGAGAGAGAGTGAGGAGGAAAGAGGGGGAAAGAAAAAGAAATAAATCAAAGACGGAAAAATGAGATATTGTTCACAAAAAAGAAAAAAAAACGAATATAAGAGAGAAAGAGTGAAAAAAGTAAGGAGAGTGAAGCAAGTAGAGTGAGGAGAATGAGCGAAAGACAAAAAACGATAAAGAAAGCAAGAGGGAGTGACAAAGGAATGAAAAGGAAGTAAAAGAAAAATGAGATATAGATATGTCAGAGAGAAAAGGGCGTGGAAAGTGGAGGTATAAAAAAAGAGAGGGTGGGGAAGGGAAAAGAAGTCGGTAAAGAAAGAAAAATAAAGCGAAAGAAAGAGAGAGAAATAGTGAAATAATTAAAGGAGAAGAAAAATAAAGAAGTTCCTGTGCACATGTGATACATATATATATATATATATATATATATATATATATATATATATATATACCTAGTGAGCCAGACAAACCTACCTAGGTTTCACAAACGGATCGTCAGGGGAAAGTTTGTCCAAACTTTCCTGACGATCCGTTTAGGTGAAAACTAAATAGATTTGTCTGGCTCACTAGGTGTATCTAGGTCTGCTCTACGGTTGTATTGAGCTCTTTTGTTAGTTAGTTGTTACTCGTATCAGGGGTTTTTTTTGGGCTTCAGACCTGCATCTGTGCGATTTTTTTGTCGGCAGAAGTTCATGTTTGTAGCTCTTTCTTTTTTAAAACCTTTTTTTCCTCGAGATTGATTTGATTAGCAAATCAAAAATTCGAGGGTTTTTCGTAACGAGTCTATATATATATATATATATATATAAATATAAAGTTGCAAATTAAAAAAAATAATAATGTTCTTTTATGAAAGTATTTATTTATTTGAATATATATTTGATATTTCAGATTGGCCTCAATCTTTCTTCAGAAATAACTGTTTGTCACATAGGTCTGTTCTACGGTTAAAATTGCTTGCCACCTTCATATAATTACATCGTCACAATTGACCATAGATTTTCGATCGGATTCAGATCAAGACTTGATGGTGGCCATTCCATTATGTACTGTCTTGTAAATCTTTTATGTTCAAAGAATTGAGAAGGGGCATTGTAGCGCATAAATATACACTTCACTTTGAAACTATGGCACGTGATATGGAACGAATATTACTAACGTAAATCTAACTGTAATAATATCTTTGATGTTGTTTAAAAGATTAAAAAAATAAAATAAGAAAATTTTTTTTAACTATATCTAAAAAATGTTTAACTATTGAAATATTTATAAATATTTAAAATACCCAAGTCTTTATTTAACCCTAGTTTATATGTATTTAATTTTAAAATCCAGTATTTTTCTTTTTTTCTGCGTGTGTATGTGGAACTGAAATCAGAATCTATCAATAAACATTTACAGTTTTCTAATGAGTGTCCTGATTGATTGAAGTGTTTAGCTATGGGGAAATAAGGATTGTTTTGACGTATAGTTTGTTTATGCTTGTTGAAGCGAAATCTAAAATTATTTCCAGATTCACCAATATATCCACTATTAATACATAAGGTGCAGAATAAATAGTAGATTATGTTATGGCTATCACAGGTACGGTGAGGAGGGTATACCTTGATATTGGTGTTGGGTATGGAAAATAAATTATCTATTATTAAGTGTTTGCAAATTAAGCAACGATGTTTGTTACATTTGTAATTTCCTGATTGGTTTGTATTGTTTAGATGTTTGGTAGAGGTGAGGATAGCTGATAGGTTAGGTGATTGTTTCTTTGCATTTATGGGTGGTTTATCGAATATATATATATATATATATATATATATATATATATATATATATAACTTTAAAAATCAGGAGGTCAGTTGAATCCGCTACCTTGATTTCAACCTCACGGTATTCCCAGGCGATTTTTCTTATCAAATGGTCACCAAATGTTTTCTTTTTTAAAAAATAATAAAAAAAAGAAGGCCACATTATTTCTTTCAAAAATAAACAAATAAGCAAACACACGAAAATCAAACTCATGACGTTTGGTGTAAAAGAAAGAGAGTAGGAGGATGTGCAGAAGGAAGGAAAAGAAGAAGAAGTAGGGGGAAGGAAGAAGAAGGAAGAAGAAGGAAGAAGAGGGAGAAGAACAAGAAGTAATAGTAGTAGTAGTAAGTGATAGTAGGAGATGAAGAAGAACAAGGGGAAGAGAAGAAAAGCAAGTGTATCGTAAATATATTAAAGGAAGAAGAAGAAGAAGAAGAAGAAGAAGAAGAAGAAGAAGAAGAAGAAAGGCAAGCGTATTGTAAAAGCTTTAAAGTTTTCAAGTTAAAGGTTCTACATATTATTTTTACTTTTATTTTTCACACGTGTATCGAGCACTTTTTAATACTACTGTTTCCTGGTCAGATCAAACTCTGACCATTAACCTTCTTTCTCTCTCTATTTCTATATATATATATATATATATATATATATATATATATATATATATATATATATATATATAAAGGCAGTATGTGTGTGTGTGTGTGTAACGAATGTACGGCCACAATTTTCGACGGATTTGCACAAAATTTACATGCACATGCTCCAAGTTAGTGGGAAGGCCAAGACTGACTTGGCGTTTCCCAAATCCCATCGATAGGGGAAATAATCGATTTTTTCATGCTTCTACGGCACTTTTCATGTGAGTGAGTGAGAGCCTATAACTGGCTGCCACGAAGAGGCAGGAGGATTCTATTGGCCAGCGTGAGAGCCAACAACAAACTGACACGAATGTTAACTAGCATGCTAGCATGCACAAAAAAATCGATAGCTGCATTCGTCACAAGTGGGAAAATTTAAATCTGCATGGCACTTTACTCCAATTGATTCATTCACTTGCTTAAACTCAACGTTGATTCTGATTCCGCAGAACTGGGTTGGGTGTGAAAAAGTATTTGTTGTTAACATTCTTTTTTCATTCGGTTTTTCCAGTTACGAGTCCTTTTTTAAAGCTGATCGTTTTGTGTTCATTTTGTTTAGTACTTTTTTCGTAACAGATTTAATGTTTAGTATAGAGCTTAGAAAAAATTCGCAGTGTGAAATAGGTAAGAAGTAAGGCATGTAGCAACATCAGCACGGTAAAGGGCACTCCTTTAAAGGCAAGGAAGGGCAAAAATATTTTAAGTCAAGTGATAGCGATTGCTGTATGAGTCGTACGATTTTTGAATCAAGCACGGGCAACGTCAGGCCTTGCTGCTAGTATATATATATATATATATATATATATATATATATATATATATATATATATGTGTGTGTGTGTGTGTGTGTGTGTGTGTGTGTTTTTCTCTGTGTTTGTGTATCACATGTGCTGACGTTTATATGCATTCGTATATAATACGTTAGAATTTCCCTTTCTCTACCAAATCGGTTGGCTTTCTATCAGATGTCTAGCTACTCTGACGAGCTGTGGTACAGAGAAACAGGCTTGTATGTGGATGACTATATACATATATATATATATATATATATATATATATATATAATATATATATATATATATAGGTTAATTAATAAAAAGAGGAAAAACGAAAGGGTATTAATATAATCAGTACGATAAGCATTTATTAAATATTAATTATTAACTATATGACAGAAATGAAACACGGAAAGAAAGGTTTTAAGTTTGGAATTTTCGGACACGTCTGTTTCGCACATCGTGGAATAAGATATTGTTTTTTTGCTAATAATACAATTTCCACCAGAAAAAGACCACCATCTACAAAAACATCCGTCGGTGAGTAACTCCCATATCTCTGTTTTTTTTTTCTCGATTCGTTTATCGTACTGGTAACCTTTCGTTTGTCCTCGTTTTATTAAATAACCTATCTATTTTACTTATTATAACCACAAACGTGACCCTCTTTCCTTATTATATATATATATATATATATATATATATATATATATATATATATATATATAATTAGGAAAGATATATATATATATTGAACAATAAAAAATATCAAAAAATTAAAATCTCAGACACACTGGGTTGTATATAAATATTCTTTCGTTTTTATTATTATTTCATTTAGATTCCTCGACTAGTTTCGGCCAACATGGCCATCATCAGGAGAAAAAATTCTACTTGCTGGTAGCAGTGAACTACAGAAATGAATGTCTTGATGGAGAAAATGAACTTTTGTCTGTAGTTTTCATTTCTTTTTTTATTATTTTATTTTTTAGCATGAATTTTGGGCAGCCCTTGTGTTGGTGATTCATTCATGCTGCTCTGAATTCCCTTGGTCATTTTGACAGTTTTATTGGTTCCTGGAAAGGGGATGTGTCTGCGTGTGTGTGGTTCGTAGGGAGTGAGTGATTATGATGTGTGTAAGCGTGAATATTACTATGGGTGTGTGTTATCATTTGGATCATTAGGGAGTGAGTGAGTATGATGTGTGTAACTGTGTATAGTCGTGTGGGTGTGTGTATAAGTGTGAGGTCTCAACCCCTCCGTAAGCATGTCTGTCTTGTGTGGGTGAGAAATGTAGGTAGGTCCTGGTTTATCGGGTTATATATTATTACTATCTATGTTGTTGAATTTATGGTTTAGCCCGTCTGGATAGTGCGTTTTTAAACGTCGTATCCACTTATTTTCATGGAACTCCAAAATCTTTCTAATGTTATCTGCTCTGAACTTTTCTATTCTCTCAATTTTAGTGAATTTAGCATGGGTTTTAAAATCGTGTTTTTCTAGACAGAAATGTTGTTCTACAGGTAATAATCTTTCATATATATGTATGCGTGTGTGTGTGTTTGTAGTCAGCTTGATTCTCACTGGGTATTTCATATTTTCAGCCTTTCACGACATACATACACATAAATGCAAAGTAACAAGCGTTGGTTTCATGTGCCTTTAGTCATGCTGTTGGCAAAAGAATCACAAAATTTGTAATTTTCCTCTCTTTTTGTCTGCTTCAGTTCCTTTTCTGAAAGATCAGCCATTTTGAAAATGACACATAGATCAAAAAGGTAAAATATTACCCGTAAGAAATATTTAACCGAAATTCTTTATCTCTCTGTCACGTCCGTTTAGGGTGTGGGTGACCATGCTTCTTCGCAATTTCCAGTCCTTTCTTGCCCTTTAAGGTTTGTCTTTTATCTATCTCTCCAAATTCACCAGTTTTAATCATTTCACCACAAGCAAGACAATAAAGCCACTGACGCGAAGGATTACCGAGTGTTAGAGAATATGAGAAAGAATTATTAGGGAGAGAGAACATTAAAAGAACAAGAATTAAGAATAGAAAGGATAACGATTGACGTTGAATTTACATGTTTGAAGATCAATGTTGACTGGGAAGCAAGTATCCGGAAGACAGTTCCGAAACGAAACTGACGTCTTTTAATCGCCTGGGAGAATCCTTTTTACCTTCCATCAGTATGGCTGATGCTAACCTTCAGGAGAGTGATTCATTGCGCTTTCTCACGCTAATGTACTTCGCAGACATGAATTTGAAAGCTTATATTGAATCAATTGCTAGATCTGATGTTAGGAAATTTCGTTACCTCTATTTTCTAGCCAGAATCGATCTTATATATATATATATATATATATATATATATATATATATATATATATATTTACATGAATCATTCATACAAAAAACAAATATAGAGGTTAATGATTTAAATGTCGAGAATACATCTTCGCAAACAATTTCAATAAGATACACTAACCCCGAACCTGTATATGAATGATATGAAACTTGTTTATAAATTCCAGTTTCATAAGGTCTTTTTTAGTTTTTACAAGCTTTCGTCTGTTCCTACAAACATCCTCATGTATGGAAATAGATTTGTTCTTGTTTTTTACTTCTCATTAATAAGAGGACAACGAAAATAGAGATGTAATCGAAAAAAATGGTATGAGAAATCTGTTATTGTTTTGGAACGTGCGGTCGCAACGCTGAGTTTGAATTTTAAATTTTAATGTGCGTTTTTGTACAAATAAGAGAATTCTTTTGTACTGGTAGGTTTTCCGTCAATGTGGCATGAACTACATTGTTCAATGATTACAGGAATGTCACACTTATTAGCCGAAAGTTGCACGTTGGATCAGTTATTTTAATTTGTAATTTATATATATATATATATATATATATATATATATATATATATATATATATATATATATATATATATATATATATATATATATATATATATATATATATATATATATATGTTTCAATTGTTCAGTCACGCCCTCTCATACATAAACGGATATATAAACAATGATTGAGTATATCGTGGCGTAATGGATAGCGACTCGGATTGAGGAATCGGAGAACCAAGTTCGAATTCTGGTCGAATCTATTACATTCACTTACGTGCTAATGCCAATTCTCTTCTTTTTCCCGTCCCCAGCTATGGTCAAATAGTAGGGCAGACCGGGTTCTATAGCCTTGGGTGGCAACTGGTCTACCACAGAAAGACATGACAACCTACTGCAGGAAAAATCTACCTCGTCAGTCATGTGTCGAAGCTACATGATCACCTAACCGTGTTTCACGCATGACACATAACTGACTGAAGTATAATGTTTCTTGAATTTTGTAACCTTTCGTTGATGGTAAAGTTCTCATCATTTTAATTAAACCATTGGCGATTTTCACTACAGAAGATCATACGTGTAAACATATTTTGCTTTTGAAAAAGAAAACATTCGTAATAAAACTTTCGTCTAAAAAAGAAATATTTTTTCTTTCTCAAATAATTATATCACACTGTGTCCCCAGTGATAATATAACATCAACAATTCAATCTTTTAATTATAGAGAAATATTCCTTCCCACCAAAAAATGTTTTCCCTATTTCTAAGATATCTCCTTATGATATATGATAATGGTGATATTAGCCGTTTCTCTACAAGGAAACATTTGGTATTATTTGACCTCTTTTAACTCTTTATAATTTTTGGATTTTTCTTATTCCTCCTAAACCTTGTTCCGCCATCCATTTACTCAAGTTCGTTATGTAAGTTATATGTTATTTTCCCCAGTCCATCTGCTCTTTAATCTGTCCTATGAGTATCAAATTTTCTAAGCTCTCTTTCCCCACTGTGTGCCCTATACATTTCAGCTATCTCTTCCTGATATTAAGTATTAGTTTAATGATTGCAAGGGCTGGGATATTTTGGGATCTGGCCCGGTGTAAACGCTCGGACTCTTCACATTAAATTAACCCTGTTGTTCATGATGACGGTCGTCTTCGAGTATAGAATCCAGAGGTTAGCAGTGAATATTTCGAAGACAGTAGGGAAGCGTTGTTCAGGTTAGCAGTGGATATTTTGGTAAAAGTAGCAGAGCGTAGTTCGTCGTTCTGTTTCTCTTCGCCTGAGAAGCTGGCACTGGACATTCGGGTAGGGTAAACAAAATGGCCGGCTTTATACACGACGGATTGTATATTCTACGTCTTCTGATTGGTTAACCTTCTATTGGTGGACTATAAAGTGAGTCAAGTCATCTGGGTTGGCTCACTAGTAGTCTAATGTATCCAAAAATTGTAACAAACCTTGCGTCTCATCCTCCTAGCGTGAGGCGGCAAGTGTAGTATCTGTGTTCTGCATTTGTAATGGTAATATTAGCCGTTTCTTTATAGTGAAATTTTTTAAGGAAATAAGTTTGTCAAGTTCAGTAAGTGTTATCGCTTTTTTCCAGTATTGAAGGGGGTTTCCTTCCTAACCATTTGTTCGAAGTAGTGTGGAAAGCTAGCATCTTGATTATGTTCCTATTTCCTGTATGATTTACGGCTGCTATCAGTTATAGTTCGTGCTGCTGTTGAATCTTCTCTAGTGATGTCGGTTCTGTTTTCTTGGTACTGATTCTTTTTTTTGTAACTCTGTAGCGCCAGTTCACAATACATTATTATAATCTGCGAATCTACTGCTAAGGAAGGCTAAAAGTGTAGTATCTATCTATCTATCTATCTATCTATCTATCTATCTATCTATCAAGCTAGCTATAATAAACTTCATAATTTTATTTTCTTCTCTCCCTCGCTCCTCTCTCCGTGTCTGTCTTCCTTAGTCTCTTATCTATCTATCTATCTATCTATCTATCTATCTATCTATCTATTATGATTTGTTCATTATCTATCTATATTTCTAGACCTGTTCCTTATCTATCTATCTATCTATCTATCTAAACTAAACTTCGCAATTTTATTCTCTTCTCTCCCTCGCCCCTCTCTCTGTGTCTGTCTTCTTTAGTCTCTTATCTATCTATCTATCTATCTATCTATCTATCTATCTATCTATCTATCTAAACTAAACTTCGCAATTTTATTCTGTCTCACCCTCTCATCTCTATGCGTGTCCGCTGTCCTTAGTTTCTCTATCTATCTATCTATCTATCTATCTATCTATCTATCTATCTATCTATCTATCAACACCAATTTGTGTCTTTTTATCTACAAACACATGCATGCCTTTACACGTATGCGTCTGTCTGTATTAAAGGAGAATGCATTGATTCGCTTCACGCTGTCTCCTTTCGATGTTGTTCTATTTGATTTCCTTCTGAGCGACACTTTCGCCAACTTCTTCTCTATCGATCGCACAAGCGTGCCAATAACAGACCACAAACCAAAATGATTGCTACGTAACCGATTGAAGGAATCGTTTGACTCTGGCATTTCCTACAAACGAAAGCGATATGAACGCTCCTGGCTAGACTCAGTTGCACAATTGCAAAGTTTGGATCAGTTCTAATTACGCACATTCTCGTTTTCGTCTGTTACAGTCAAATTACATAAATTCCGCATCTGTCCATATATTTCTGAGATGAGTTATTGTAACTATTTACATTGTTAGTCCCCATCTTTGCTGTTATATTCATGACGTTTCGAATGTTGTACATTCCGGCCTTCTTCAGGTGATTGGAATTTCGAGCTTAATCCTTCATTTTGTCCAGCGGGGTAGATTGTTCTAGTTCCATGTACCACGCCTCTTCCGGATATCTCAATTTCAATTTCACGTATTTCCCTTTAGTAACTCAACTCTCCAGAGATTAACAAAAACCTGGAGAGTTGAGTTGTCCTGTAGGGTAATTAGCCATTGTTAATTGGCAGAAATGCCCAACAAACAGAAAGTTTACAATCTCTATATATAAAACAGAGGATGTTTGTCTGTCTGTCTAACCAATTTTGACCAAACTTGGCACATATATTGTACAATGTAAGAGATAGGTTCTTAGCGTAAAAAATCGATATTTTTTAAAAATAAAATCAATAATCTATAAAGCCGATAAAAATTCGATAAATTCAACTTTTTTTCTCCGATTTCGTTCAAACTCGGTGTGTAGGTTACTTACATCATAAGGAGCTCAACAATACCATTTTTATTTCTACGCCACTGAGTCTAGCGAAAAAAACGCAAAAAAAAAAACGAAACTCGATTTTAACAGAAATCGATTTCAACACAAATTTTAAACTAAAAACTCTCTCAGTTTTCAAGCAATCTGATAAAAACTTTACTCAATTCTAGCCAACAATAAGTTGATTGTTTAAACGTCATTTAACTTGATAATTGAGTCCACCCATATAGTGAAAACCCGCGTAAATTTTTTTCGTTAATCTTTCAAGCAATTTTTATCAAACTTAACAATTGCTTTATAAATGTATCCTCTTTTACATCGCTGGTAGCACAGTGACAAATTGAATTTCAAAAACCCCAAAATAATTGTGGTCTGAAGAGGGTCTTCATGTTGCCTGTTTTACTCCTTCATGTCCTCGGCTAACTTTGATTGAATAAATACAGACTACTGTTATATCAGTAACTGCATTAATTCAAAATGTTTTTAATGAAAGAACTTTAAAGTAATTGAAGAAGATAGCCTCTGTTACATATAAACATGATGCTGTTTTTGCTTCATTCTAATTGAACGCTTTTTCTGATCGACCAGCTTGGTATGGCTGCCAGTAAACAATAAAAAGAATTCCAAGCGACAAAATACATGGTTTTCCCTTCCCAAATGCACTTTTCCATTCTTCTCTGCCACGCTCCTATGCAATACTGGATACATTCTTCTTGGATGCTCCTCAGCTCCGATATTGCGGCCCTGTTGATGGCCTCCACTATTTTAAAACGGGTCCGTTTGATGATCCTAATATGCTCATAGAAAAGAAGTAAGTCACATGGAGCATGATCAGGTGAGCAGGGAGATTGTTCCAGTACAGCGATATTCTTCTCGGCCAGGAACTGTCGGATGCATTGTAAGTAGGTGCATTGTCGTGGTGAAACTACTACGATTTCTCCTGCCACAACTCTCGTCTCTTCGCGCGCACTGAGCGAAACAAACATCACGGGATCTCTTTTGTAGACTTACTGATTGATCGTCTGGCCATGTGGCAAGAACTCACTGTAGACGATGCCTTTCACATCGAATAACATACAAGTACCTTTAGTTTTCGGACATACCTCGTATGCAATAAAGAAAAATGATAGCAATAAGGCAAAAAAGTTCACAAACTAAGACGGGATACGGATAATCGATCGAAGCGTTCTGACTTCAAGACAACAAAGATCAGAACTAAGTCAGATGACATCTAGAAGTGGCCTCTTTTATTGGCTAGGAAGAAATCCCAGCATGTATCTGTGGAGGGATGTTTTTTGCAGTCATTTCAGTTGCGTTGGGACCAACATGTCTTGTAAAAGAATGCTCCAAAGAGAAGATTATTTGCACACACACACAAACCGTTTCACAATGACAAACCACACATACACATACAGTTATTTTACTAAGGTTCATACAGTAGAAGGCTCAAGACCAAGGTAAGGAGTTAATGAATAAGGTATATGATATGACGGTAAGAGGAAGTAGAGGGAAAGAAAGATTATGAGGATAAGGCGGAATAGATGACAACCTACCCTTGATGTTATGATTGTAGTGTTCAAGATTTGATTTGTTTTATTTTTGCAGCGTATCAAACCTTTTCAGTTTATTTAAAGCCAGAAAATATTACATTGGAAGAAATTCTTATCTTAATATAATGTTTTACTGATACAAGTCCTACTCATAGATGGGGCGGGACATAAGTTAAGTTCATACCTTTCCCAAGGTATTTGCGCGTAACGGAATATAACCAACTCGACTTCTGCTAGAGAGTTCAATCTGCGCTACTATTTAATCTATACCAGGGGGAAGAAAAGATCGATTTATACCTTTCCCAAATGTGTTTGTACAAAAGCGAATGCCAGGAACTTTACTGGAATTCGAACTCTTCTTGCCGATTTGTAATTCCAAGACGGTCACACATGTTTAATAACTAATACTAGGGCGTAAAAATAAAATGTCAGCGGTTTACAAACTTTGTATTAAACAAGAATTAAATGCACTAAAAGTTTACATTTGCACGGAAAACTACCCGATATGCACTTTCATGCATGCAGCTAATTTGTGCATTGTGCAGCAGCATCAGAGGAAGCTGAACGCTATTGGGAAAATGCACCAGTGAGGAAGGAAGAAATTAACCGAATTAGTTCAGTTCATTAGCGGAAGTTTCCGCGGAAGTATTCGAGAAATCTTTCGTAAGGTGATTGAGTAACCAATTGCAGGGAAAAGGCCATTGATTAATAGCATAAACGAATCGAGAACCCCGAGCCAAAATAATTGCAACAACAATGAAAACATAAGCAAAAATTGGTATCAGCGACGGAGATGATCATAGAAGTGAAAAGAAAAATCCGGGTTATATTGGAAGGAATAATGGCAAGTGATTTAATGATCTAAGAGATCAACGGAACGGCTCAGAATTCGACATAGACGTCAATGGCGGGAACTTTAAGACAGTTGTTCTTAATAGCGGTCCAAAAACTGCGCTATAAAAATGAATGATTTAGCGACTTACGAAGCGTAGCTTTGGTAGAGAACAAAGCCGAAAAAATAGTGTACCCAGGGAGGATCGATCTCACTAGTCAGTCGTAAGTGATCTTGTAGGACAAGCTAGCAACCCATGACACCACAAAGGCCTACATTGCCTACATAGCCATTTACAAAGCGTTTCGAAGAACACAGCACGGGGCCGAAATTGTGTGGCATCTAGTGAGGGTCGAACTCACTATTCAGTCGTAGATGATCGAGCAAGACAAGCTTTCTGGCCATTACATCACGTCCAAGGGCACTTAACTGTCAATATAGCTATGCCGAAAGTATGGTGCACCCAATGAGGATCGAAACCACTACACACATGAGAATATAGAAAAAAATAGACAAAAAATCCTTAACAGAGAAAATTTGCGGGTATTTAACTAAACTTTGTTTCCCCCCCCCCACACACACACGTACACACACATAAGTCATCTTTTAAGCTAGAAAGCCTTAGAAGTTCTAGAGAGCTAGCCAATTGTGTTTGGAAATTAAAGGAGAAAAATAAAAAAAGAGTTCCTATTGTAAACTGGGAAATTAAAATAAAAAGCAAAACATTACAACAATCATAGCAACATCTGCAACCTTTGTCAACAAGAGAAATTAGCTATAATAATATTTCCGGACCAAAAACCTTTTGAACCAGAGATCGGAAATTATGTCTCGATATGTTCATACTAAAAAGTTCCCTTTGAGTTCATTTGAAATGGGATGAAAAGAACGTATCTATATTTCATTTAACCTCCTCCCGCGACACATTTCCAGTACACTTATTTTTCCCTTCCACACCTTCTACACACGTCAAATCGTGTCCTTATTCATTTATTTATTTATTTTTTAATTTAGCATTCATAATATTTTTTATTTAAAAAAAAAATAAAGCGTTAGAAAATCAATTGACCGAAATCACCTGATGATACCGAAAGCTTGAAATCAACGTAGCGGAATCGGCTGATTTCTTAATTTTCTATTCTTAAAAGATCTACATGTTAAATTTTTATCTTTTTATATGTGGATTGAGCACTTTTTAATACTACTGTTTCTTGGTCTAATTCACTCTGACAATAAACTTTATATATATATATATATATATATTGTGTATTTATTTGAAAGCATCTTTTCATTCATACACGTTTCAATAATATTGTTGAAACTTGACTAATGCATGGAATAATAATGCAAAAAAAAAGTACTTAGAACAAAATGTATTGAAACAAAGAAAGGTATATTTACATATAGTCTTTTTTATATTCCTGGTAAGACCGTTCCTGGAGAATGTGTTGACCGCAGTTGGGCAGAGTCTCACAATCTCTTGATTCCTCCTTCTCCTTTTTTATATGGTCGGTAACTCCCAAAGAAAGAAATTAGGTGGATCCCTACCACAACAAATATAGAGAAGTGTTGTCTATTTATTTTATGTAAATTTTTTTCATAACGTCTGATAAGTTTAATAACATTATCGTTGAACGAAGAAAGAAATTCACAATATTGATTTTTTTTTAAATTTTTTACTTAATGTCTATAATTGATAGCAAAGCCATTGGTTTATACCATTGGCTCATACTATAATTCACACCACTCGTGTGGTCATGTGTGACATCATGAGATGCAGTCGATTTTCGCTGATAGCGTGTTATATTGTTTATCGTTTTAGGAAATCATCTATAAGGTAATGACAGACTATCATCACTGTCTTGTCCGTATATTTAATATATTGTAATTGACATCTTTGATAATAGCTTATGTAAGCTTAGATTGTATTAAAAAATATCGATATTGTGAATTTCTTTTTTGGTTCAACGATAATGTTATTAAACTTATCAGACGTTATGAAGAAAAAAAAAAATTACATAAAATAAATAGAAACCTTGTCTATATTATTTAATGAAAGGTGTATATATATATATATATATATATATATATATATATATATAATATATATAATGAATTCATCACAACGAACCTGATATAAAACGACCTTTAAAAACAAATACAAAAATAAAATAAAGGAAACACCTTAATGGGCTTAAATTCCTGAAGGCTCAATTGAAATTACGGAATATTTTGCATTTAGGCAGCAACCATTTTTCATGCACATTTCTGTTATGGGGTCCATTTTCTATATAAGTGGACCCTACCAAAATGTTACTTGGACTGCTACTTTTAAATACCCAGTGTTTGAGAGAGGATATACGGAGAGAGAAATTATATAGGAGTGATGTGGCAACCTGGTGTAGAAGTCACGTAGACTCCTAAGGAAAGTCCTACTTCGAGACTGAATATTATATTTCAACCGCGTTCCTGACCTTAAGAACAGTATTACTCTTTGTGTATGATTGTGTAAATACATTTTATTTCATTTTTAATTATTGCGAGTTTATCATTCCTGGGAGACCAATTCATCTGGATTTTCCCAGACCGAAATTTCTTATTGCGATCTAATAATTTTTTTTTATTTTCGATGATAAATTATAAAACCCATAACTGAATGTTTATTTTAATTCGAGCGCTTACGGCTATACATTTAGCCATTTTCAAGGTTGAAATATTTTAAAAGATCATTCGGACTGTTTTTATATAATTTGTCATCTGAAAAGAAAAAATATTAGATCGCATGAGAAATTGTATAAAAAACTCAATCAAAGCACCTTGTTATCGTATATATATATATATATATATATATATATATATATATATATATATATATATATATATATATAATCTCTATATATAAATTTAATTATATATATATATATATATATATATATATATATATATATCTGTTGTGGATTCAGAGATGAAATTCAGTCGCCAATGAATGACAGGCGCAAGAATTAAATATAAGAAATTAAATGTATTTACACAATAATACAATTGGTAATACTGTTAGTAAATCCAGGAACGCGGTTAGTAGTACACAATAATAATAATAATAATAATAATAATAATAATATATATATATATATATATATATATATATATATATATATATACAGTCTCGAAGTAGGACTTCCTTAGAGTCTACGTGCTTGTAACTGACTTCTACAAGCCGTTACCTCACACTATTTCTCTACCTCCAACTCAATCACAATCTCTGCTCACTCTCTCTGTATATATATATATATATATATATATATTCTGACTGACTCTGGTATTTATCGGCAGCAGTCCAAGTAACACTTTGGTCGAGTCCACTTATATGAAAAGTGGAGGACCCTAATATATATATATATATATATATATATATATATATATATATATATATATGTATGTATTAATATAAAATTGAACATTGAAGTCAACACTCAGAGGCGACAGGCTGTTTCATGCAAGGCGCAATCGTCAGGTGCAATATATATATATATATATTATTTTATATGCGCGGTACTTAGTGAAAAGTACTCAATAACAGTGATAGAGCTAACATATTCAGTTGTATGGATATGAGTTTTTCATATCCATACAATTGAATATATATATATATAACGATAGTAAAGAAAGATTGTGAATCTATACTTCTTACAAATTTTAGATATAGCAGGCCGATTAACCCTATAACACTAACCACTAACATTATAGTACCCAGCGCAAATTTTCCTGTTTTTAATTACAATTTTCAGTACGTGATGTTTTTATCTAAATAATGTTTTTCAGTTCCTATTAATGTTAACTCAAAGTATAAAGATTGAAATGCGTGCATGTAAAATATTTCAAATAAAGATTTATATTTAATATTATTTTTTTGATATTTTCAAAATCGAGTATGATATACCCATGGTTAGTAGTGGTGTAACTTTAGTTGATGGTTAGTGTTGTAGGGTTTAAAAAATTACAGAGATAAAAACAAGAAAAATTGTAACACACACACACACACACACACACACACACATATATATACACATATATATATATATATGTGTGTGTGTGTGTGTGCGTAGGCCTTTTGACCAAATTATCATGACGAGAAAAGATCTTAAAAATCGGACACGCCTTTGATCTTACTCCACGAGAAATAATAAAGTTAGTCTTTTTGGCGAGGGGGGATTGGTTAGTTTTTTTCCGAAGGTGTTATAGCGATTTATTAAGTGTTGCTTAGATGTGACAAAAGGATGAAAGTATGGAACACCAAGTGAAAGAATAGACATGCTCGGGCAAAGCGCCTGAGCTAATGGGAACTGTTCAAACGACTGTGTTTTGACTACATAGATCAGTAGTATATGTATAAAAGAGTTGACTTCTTCATAATATCAACTTGGTGTCTGTGTGTGGGGAGGGGGCGATTGAAGTGTGCGGCACCGTTGGAAAGTGACTGAAAATCATATCACGAGTTGAGCCAAGACTTGTGACTGAAATCGGATACATGAAAGTTTTCAGAATCAGATTTGCTGTAACACAACCATAAGCGTGTAGATAAATAGATAGAAACAGAGCGCGATACATACATATATATATATATATATATATATATATATATATATATATATATATATATATATATATATATATATATATATATATATATATATATATATATATATATAGATAGATAGATAGATAGATAGATAGATAGATAGATAGAACAGAGCTCGATACATAGATAGATAGATAGATATGAACAGAGCGCCATAGATAGATAGATGGGATCAGAGCGCCATAGATAGATAGATAGATAGGAATAGACAGACAGACAGATAGATAGATAGATAGATAGATAGATAGATAGAGAGGATAAGAGCGCCATAGATAGATAGATAGGAATAGACATAGATGGATAGATAGATAGATGGATAGATAGATAGATAGATAGATAGATAGGATCAGAGCTCCATAGATAGATAGATAGATAGATAGATAGATAGATGATAGATAAGATCAGATAGCTATAGATAGATAGGAATATAGATAGATAGATAGATAGATAGATAGATAGATAGGATCAGAGCGCCATAGATAGATAGATAGATAGATAGAATAGACATAGATAGATAGAAAGATAGATAGAATATAGATAGAATAGACATAGATAGATATATAGCATCAGTGCGCCATAGATAGATAGATAGGAATAGACATAGATAGATAGATAGATAGATAGATAGGAACAGAACGCGATAGATAGATAGATAGATAGATAGATAGATAGATAGATAGATAGATAGATTACAATAGACATAGACAGATAGATAGGAACAGGCCGCGATAGATAGATAGATATAAAAATGAATGAAAGTATAAACCGAGATCGATTGATAGATAGAGAGATAAATATAGACAGTTAGGTAGATAGATAAATATAAACAGAATGTAAATAATATATAAATATTACCTGAATGAGATTGATGTGATCAGAATTGGATAGGTAGATATAAACAGAATAAGATCGATCGATAGATAGGTAGACAAACAAATATTAACATAGTGAGATAGAAAGATACATATAGATATGAATAGAATTAGATAGATATGAACAGAATGACATATATTAGACATAGATATGAGTAGAACGATATATATATATATATATATATATATATATATATATATATATATATATAGTATTACACAACTAAATCCAAAATTACCTCATTCAACACCTGGGTTGAATAAGACTGACGAACTTTTCGAGGGTTGAAATCGATCTATCCCGCATATGAGGTAATTTGGGAGTTTGTTGTGTCATACTATTTATTGGCTATTTTATAGTGAATACATTTTACTCTTTTTGCGGATCAGTTTTAATAATTTATATTACTATTATCCACTTGGATTATATATCAACGGATTTATTACACTTATATATATATATATATATATATATATATATATATATATATATATATATATATAAACAGAATGAGAAAGAGATGTGAACGAAATAAGGTAGATATAGATACATTGATAGGTATAAATAGAATGAGATATATTAGATAATAAACAGACAAAAATATATAGAGGGATAATAAACGAAGAAAAGAAACAATCTTCAAACACAGCTTATATAAATTCCACAAATAAATTTATTGTTTGTAAAATAATTTTTGTCCTTTTAAGCTGGAAGAAATAAGATTATAAAGTTCCTCTTTGAGTTCGTTCATATAATTGCGTTAAGGAAAATAAACGCGAGCAAGGAAAATTCTATGGAAGTGTTTTTTTATAGCACCAAAATATAAATGAAACGTATTAGTATAGAGAGGAGCGTATGTGCGTGATTGTCATTAGATTTATTAAATTTCGAAGTTTTATTGGTCAATAAATATATTTCCTTATTTTTGGTATCGATTTTTAGGAAGGAAAAAATTGTCAATTATTCTCTGGATATGAGCTTTCGTTTTTTAGCAAATAACTGAGAACTGATTGTCTTGGTTGTTGTGCGTTTGAGACGACCTCTCTGATTAGTCAATAAATGGTCGTGTGGGAATTGGAATTTGACGTCCGTGTGATCTTATCTTTGCATAAATTTGAGATTTTATGTGATACTACTTAATTCTATTGATTTTTAAAAATTATTTACTGTGTTCTACATAGCTATCTATCTGGACCTATTCATTATATATCAGTCCATTTATCTATCTATATTGATAGATCTGTTCATTATCTATCTCTTTCGATCTGCCTCTCACTATTCATTGTCTATTTCTTTCGATCTATCTGTTCATTATTTCTATCTATCTATCTATCTATCTATCTATCTATCTATCTATCTATCACTTTATATGTTAATGTGTCTATTTATCTATCGATCTGTCTTGATCGGTGAATTATTTCACTCTATCTATCTATCTATCTATCTATCTATCTATCTATCTATCTAGAAATAGTCATTATCTATCAATAGAGTAACCAGACTGTGAAAAGGAAAAAAGAATCCTGAAACACAGTTCTACAAACTTGAATAACTTTATTATTGAGTATAAAATTAATATTTGCTTTCTTTTAAGCTGAAAGAAATAATTTAGAAAGTTCCTCGTTTTTCTTTTTGCAACACGAAAAAGAATTGCGTTAGTATAAGATGAATGTTATGTATAAAGATGTGACGGGAACATCAACAACTTACGTTATGTTATGTATCCGTGGTGTAAATTTAACAGCGGTAGACTGGTCAGCTACGTATCAATGCAAACATGCCTACGATTTGTTTATGTGATGTTTGAGTATTTTCGTAATGTAAACTGTTCAAACTTGATTATTGTTGAGGGGTTCTCCCCTTTTTCCGCAAATGGACTCACCCAGTATATACATATACTACGGCTACGTGAAGACCCGAGAGAGCAAGACCGAGTCGAGTCGAGTCCAGAGTGACAGAGTAAAAGGTTGTAGGTAACCGGAAGAGTAAGGGTGAGGTAACAGCGTTGTAGGAGTCACAGTGAGCAAGCACGTAGACTCAGTAAGAAGTCATACAGCGATACTTCAATACCAAAGACTGTATAGATATTTTGCTACTAACCCGTATTCCTGGAACTACTAACCTGCTTTACCAGTTTGTATTATTACGTTCATACATTATTTTCATATATTCATTCCTGGCTTTTATTATTTATTGGTACCGGATTTCAACCCAGAATCCACAACAATTATGAAAATACTTTAAAAGTAAGAAATAATTTTCACAAATGAAAATTAATACTCAATGAATTAATTTGAGTATGTGAAAATTTGAGTAATCAGTATTATTTACATCCCGGTTGAAGATATATTGAAAAACTAGTCTATCAATTTACAATTTATTTATAAGAAAAATCGGATCACGGGAAATTAAAAGTTATATTTATTGAACGTAGAAGCTTTATTGGTTAATAAATATATTTCCCAATTTTAATATTGATTTTTAGGAGAGAAAAGATTGTTAATCAATTTTCATGGATGTGAGCTTTCATTTCTTGAGCATGCAACACAGAACTGGTTGTCTGCTTTTTCAAAGCTTTTGATCATCGTCTCAAGCAATCTCGCTGATTGGACAACAAATGTAATGTGGAAATTTGAATTTGACATTCGTGTGATCTTATTTTTGCATAAAATTGTCTGCATGATCCTGCTCTTGCACAGAACCGAGATCTTAGTTATAATACTTAAATCTATTGATTTTTTCGGCAATTTTTAATTGGGTTTTACAAGCGTACTGATCCTATTCAAAACTGATGATCATGCTAGATTATGCTTTCCCTCAGAGACTGTAACTAAGGCTCGTTCAGCAAGGCTGAAGTATAAACCTCTGTGTTTAAAAAAATATTGTTGATCATATTCTGAGGTAATCCGCCAAAATTTCGTAGCTAAGAAGAAATCATTGGCAAATTCAAAGAAAACCGCTTGTCTTATATGACGTCGCTGACTGGTTAATATATACATGAATACAAAAATTCAAATTTTTTGGAGCCGGTCCGTGTACAAAAATGAATTAATTTCTGAGTTTAAGTAATCTATGGTATTTTTCTACAATTCTGTAAAGGGGTCACACACACACACACACACATCAGCGAAGAGGGTCCCAGAATAGAAATAACTTCAAGAGCAGAACAAACAATGGCAGCTGTCACAGAGCTAGGAACCAGTCACCTGGAATGATAAACATATATGCCTGAAATCAAAGATCAGTCTGTTGCGTACTCTGGACTTTTCTATCTTTGTCTACGTCAGCGAATCTTAGATGTTAACAGCAAAATTACAGTGATGAATCCAAGCATTAAAAATGAATAACTACAACATCATTCTGGGCATCCCCTACGTAGACCGCATAAAAGTACGGCCCCAATAGGTCCCTGATTCCTCGTGCTAGCCTCTACCTTTAGAGGAGTCGGATCAGACCGAGAATGGTGTACTGTTGCCATATTTAGGAAGGAACTGCACAGTCCTCACTTACCTGTCTCGACAGAATCCACAAACGTCTCCGCGTCCTTGTGGATGACAATTTCTTTCTTATCCTACAGACCCTTTCTCACAGACGAAACATCGCAAGCTCCTCTGCTCGATCGCTATTTCCATGGAAAGTGCTCTGACAAACTACATTCCTTAGTTTCGAACCTTTGCGACTAAGACCCGCCATGCTATTTACACTGTAACGAACCACCATTGTTCCTTTCCTATTCCACTGGTGAGATATAAGTTCCACTCTAGCAGCTTCTCTCCCACGAACCGCTACCCCGGGGGAATGATTCCCACGTGGATGCTTTTCCGATCAGTATAATCTTAACCTGTTCAAGACTAGGGGTAATCGCTATCTTACCAATATATCCGCATAAACTGTGCCTGCTAATCTGTGACTCTACTTCGGATGACTCCTAGGACTCGTACAGAGCGAACAACACTGTGAAATAAATTTCGAGACACCATGAAGCAAGAAACAGTCTCATTGTAAGTCAAGAAAAGAAATTTTAAATGGTATAGACATATCATAAAAGCTAACCATCTTTCCAACTGCCATCCTACAAAGTACAGCACGTCCCGGGTATAACGATAAACTATTTCCGACAGGAAAGAGCGTGGAACCACCTGTTAACTGCTGTTGTTCAAACATTCACCCTAACCCAGGGTGGTAGCACCTGCTGGGGTCCAAGCTATCGGCAAATAGTTAAATTCCATACTGGGGTGAAAACATGATGGAAGCTTAAAAATCGTTATAGCAAAAATTCCAGCAATACATTTTCATAAAAAAATTCCAGCAATACATTTTCATAAAAAAATTCCAGCAATACATTTTCATAAAAAAAATTCCAAAGAAAAATACATTTTCATAAAAAAATTCCAGCAATACATTTTCATAAAAAAATTCCAGCAATACATTTTCATAAAAAAATTCCAGCAATACATTTTCATAAAAAAATTCCAGCAATACATTTTCATAAAAAAATTCCAGCAATACATTTTCATAAAAATTCCAAATACATTTTCATAAAAAAATTCCAGCAATACATTTTCAAAAAAAAATTCCAGCAATACATTTTCATAAAAAAAATTCCAGCAATACATTTTCATAAAAAATTCCAGCAATACATTTTCATAAAAAAATTCCAGCAATACATTTTCATAAAAAAATTCCAGCAATACATTCCTGTAAGGAAAAAATATTACAAGAAATAAGAAGAAATTACTAATGCTACAAAGAAAAATTAAATTTCGACATTAAATGACTTATAAAGGCGTTCGATATGCCGCTAAACAAAGTACCACTTAAGGCTAAAGGAGAAGAGACAGCGGGAAAATCAACTTACAACGTCACTGAATGGACGGGAGGATAATTCACAGACTCAGCATGGTCCCATAAACGATATATACAGAAGAATCTCGTAAGTTTCTTACCTGCGCAATGACACTATGACCTTACTAGATCATGGGAAAAATGATGATAATGATATTCGAGAAATAGTTGTGAATATAAAACTAATGTTAATGCTCTGATCGGCAAAAAAAAAAAATAGTGATTTGGAGAAGCCTATTATCAATCGA